TATATTAAAAAAGGAAGGAAATGTGGTAGTTCCTGCCAGAAATCTCAGGTGCTTTTGTTCATGAGTTTACTTATTTATTTATTTATTTAGTACAGGGTCTTGCTATGCAGCTCAGACTCAAGGTGATCCTTCTGTCTCAGCCATCCCAGTGCTGGGATTACAGGCATGTGCCATCACATCTAGTTTTGGTGGCTGGCATGGCATGCAGTACCGGGATCGAACCCGGGTCCTTGTCTTGCAGGCAGGCGCTTAGACCACTGAGCTATCTCCCCAGGCCTTGGCTCATGTGTTTGAGGCCAGCCCATGCAATTTAACAAGACAGTGTCTGAAAATTTTAAAAGCTTTTCAAAGTGCTGAGGATGTATGTTAGTCTTAATCTGTTTATTCTCCTTCCATAACAGGCGTAAGACCCTGGGTTCAATCCCTGGTGCAGGAAAAGGGGGCAAAAAGAAAGAATTTTAGTCTGGAAACAAAATATCTTACTAAGACATGAAACATATCATTTGGCCACAACATTTTCAATTACTGTGCCTTTCTTTCTGCATTTATAACTTAAGTAGAACAATACCTACTTCCAGGAATTTCATAGAATAAATAAGATTATTATGAAGACAGTAATTGTGTGAATTTAGATTTTTTTTTTTTTTTGTACTAGGGATTAAACTTGGGACCCTGCACTTGCCAGGCAGGCACTTATGCCACTGAGCTATATCCCCAGCCCATAAATTTAGATTGTATTTAGCAGTTTCTAAATTGATGTTTCATCCCTTCATTCAAAAGAGAAAATAAAAAGTATACCTCTTCCTCCCTCTTCTTCCTCTTGCTCCTCTTCCTTCTCCTCTTCATCTTCTTGTGGCACGGGGCTTTGAACCCAAGGCCTTCAAACCCCAGGATGTGTGCCAGCTCCCCACCCTTTACTTATTTCCCAGTCTTACCTCCTTCGAGGAGAGTGAAGACTCCTGGCTTGTCCATGCTGAGATCCAAGGGCAGATGAGAACAGTCCGTGAAGGCCATGGCCTGCTCAGTCGCATTCACGTGATACATCGCAATGGGGATTTCTATAGCCTGGCCAACCTCCACATCAGCGTGGAAGGGCAACAATTCCATTTTGTTCAGCTTCAGGACATACACCTGGGGGAGGGGGCACAACTGGCCTTTTAGAGGAATCTTAGAAGAAACCATCTCTTAAACATATAAGTGCCCATACATGAAAATGTCTGCATGTATATGTATGTGTTTTATATAAAGAAAACATGTGTCAGTCATATTATAGGCAGTTGGTCGGTCTCCCGTGTCACTGGCTTCTGATCCAACTGATGGTTGAAAATATTTGGAAAAACACTGCACCTGTGCTGAACTGGCAGCGATCTTCCCCCTTGTCATTATTCCCTGAATAGCACAGGGCAGCAAATAAAGTACAATGAGTCTGGAGATGCTCTGAGTTATGTGGAACGCTTGCACAGGCTATATGCAAGCACTGTGCCATTTTATGTACAAGACTTGAACATCCACAGATTTTGTTGTGTCTGAGGTGGTCTGAGATTAAATCTCTGTGCATGTTGAGGAATGACTGCATGCTATTTTCCATTATGCACATAAACACACACAGCAGCTGCTGACTGTGTCCTCCTTCCACTCCTTAGCT